CCAACCGTGTCGGGCCGCCCATCCCTCAGCGCGCCGAACTTCGCCCCCATCAATACGACGCTCTTGTGCTGCGACAGCCTGAACATCAGGTCGACATAAAACTCACGGCGCGACCACCGTAACGAACCGCCGTGCGTGGTAAAGTGAGCCCCTCGCCGTGTAGCACCACGCTGCACCCGCCGCCTAGCAGTCATCCGTGCCTGCGCTCTCTCAGGCACGCGATCCTCCGCCTCCGACCGCGGAGTGACAAAAAAGGCTGACTGCAGACGTGGAACTACGAATGCAAGCCCGGCAGCTGGGTCCGGTGGGCGGTGGTACTGCTGGTGACGCAGCGAGTGGTCCAACGACAGGCGCAGCAGCAGGCGCCGCCTATGGGAAAAAGGTTACAAATGGGCCCGTGGCGGCTGCGACGGGGGTGGCTGCTGCAGGGGCCTTCTCCTCGGCTCCTGCCGCGGCCCGCAGGAACTCAGCAGATGGGAAGGCAACGCCCATGGCCAGCACCTGGGCCTGGATGGACTCGAGCAAGGCAAACCCCTGGCCGCCGGCTGCAGCAGCAGGGGCGGCACTGAGCAACATCTGCAAGCCGCACACATCGGAGGCGAGATTTGCCAGGTCCACGCCTCCAGAGCCCGCCGCCGAAACTGCCACGGCACGCTGGGCTGCAACAGCCGCCACCTCCAAACCAGTGATGGTGTCGCCGTGCTGCTCCTTCCTCGCGCGTAGGCTCTCAACCTGGGCCTCGGCAGCCTCCAGAGCGGAAGCAACGTGATCGTGTTCCTCTGGGGCCTCGGACAGACGGCCCTGGAGCGTGCGCAAGAGGACGTCGGGTGGCTGAGCCTTGCGGTCCTCCGCCTCCAGCATGGCGAACTCACGGGCCGCAGCGACGACAAGGGGGTGGTCGGCAGCATACTGGAGGTCCTGCAAACCTGCCAAGCCCTTCCGTGCCCTGGCGACCCGCAAGGCTGTCGGTGGTCCCAGCAGCAGCGGGCTCCCCAGCACGCTGGCCAGCAGGAGAAGCAGCCGAGCGGCGGCGGCGCCCCGCGGACCGGGCACGGGCGGGGGCCTCGACTTTCGGCTCGGCGGCAGGCTGCAGGCGGCCTTGGCGGCCGCGCCCGCAGTTCCAGCACGTGGCCCTCGTCGGAAAGTTGGTGCGGAAGCCGCAGAGGCGCGTGGCCACGCACTGCCATGGCTGCTGGTCGCCACCTCCAGCGGCGTCGGCCCTGGGGCGCGCCAGCCGACGACATGGCTCCACTGTCCCCGCACAGGCTTTCTCCGTGGTGGCCAGACAGCAGCCGCCGCGCGGCAGCGCAGCACAACGTGAGCCTGGCGCGCGAGCGAGGCCGCCGAGCCCGCCGATGCCAGGCCGGCGAGCGTGACCTGGCGCGCTCGGGAATGGCGCGAGTGCCCGAGACTCGGGCAACTGGCTTGGGCCAAATGGAAGGCGCCTCCCTCGCCCCAGCGGGGGGGCACGGAGCCCAAATGGCACCTAGAATGAGGACGAGGATGAGGATGAGGAGGAGCACCATGGGCATCATCAGCGGCAAAAGGAGGGATGGGGGAGAGGAGAATGAGGGGGAGGATGGCGGCGAACGAGAGGACGGAGAGGAGGAATGAGGATTGCTCTGGGTGTTACGGGGGATTGGGAGATTATGGGGGGCTTCAGTGGGGCTCAAAGACTCTTACGCACAGGATGGAAAATGGCCGGGTGGGTGCCAAAATAAAAGGGGTATGTTGAGAATTGGGCTGGGGGTGGACAGTAGAAGGTGGATCAAGAGGAGGGGTGACGGAGTAAAAAGTAAAGCCAGATGAGAAGAGCAACAAACAGGGAGGACGACCAGGAGGGAGAAGTGGTGGGGTAGGTGGAGGCGAGGAAGTGGAAGGACAAGAGAGCAGGGAGGAAGGAGGGTGGGGAAGGAGACACCACCGTCAACAAAGATGCTGCGACCAACGTTATTTCTGTATTCCCGGCCGCAGCAGGCAGCAGGAGGGACTCATTTGAAACACGAGCGTACCCAAGGTGCTGTCACTCAGGCGCCAGCTCGATTTTCAGACGGAGCGGCATCTGTTCTTCGAGATGCAATGCTGCCACACCATATGTGATAATACACTATGAATCGACATCAAAAAGATACCCCATTTGATCAAGAACCGCCATCCGTATGTAACTGTTGCATGCATTACGCGATTTCCCGGTAGACGCACGCAATCAGAAACAATGGTTGGAAACAAACACTGACATTCAGACATTGGCGTCTATTCGGGATAATGCGTGTGGATAACTAAGCACGGAATGCAAGCTGCCCGCGCTGCATTCGCGTATCTGCTTGATACATGTCGGGCGAATGTGCGCCTCGAATGCGAGAACCTCGTCGCTAAAACCACCCGCATCCAGTCCAGGTAAGTGGTTGCGAATTTCAAACCTCAAGAACATACATCGCGAAAAGGTCTCGAACGAATGCCCCGTCAAACCACGCCGGCACGCCTGCTGGTGCGACGCAGGTGGGATATGCAGAGGGGAGAGGGATAACGAAAAGGGGCATGGGAGGAGGAAGGGAAGAGGAAGGAAGTGTTACAGGAGGCTGGTTCTGGGCGGTTTCTAAAGAGTGTGTGTGTGTGTGTGGTTTTGCATGTGTGCGCGAGCATGTGGGAGGCATTGCGTGGACAATTCGTCATCTGGCAGTGACGGGGAAGCGGCGGCGCGAGCGCTCGGCCGCCCTGGCATGATCGGTGGGCATGCCGACAGCAAGCGCGGAAGGTTTTCTTCCTGGCCCTCCACCTGCTGCTGCTCCGAAGGATTGCAAAAAAAAACAAACCCAAACGAAGGATAGCAAAAAAACGAAGGATTGCAAAGGATTGCAAAAAACCCTTCGTTTTGCAATCCTTGGTTTTGCAATCCTTGTTTTTTTTGCAATCCTTCGCTCCACTCCTCCGCACTCTTCCTGCTCCTCCTGCTCGTCGTCAGCCTGGTCTTCTTCCACCACCCTCCACCTCGGACCCCGCTCCTGTGCGTCACCTGTGTGGCCAGGCAAAGAAGGGGACGGATGGCGACATCGCATGGTCGTCTCAGCGGGAGCACAACATTTGCAACCATCTACACGTCCATGATGGGCTACACTAGCTGAGACGGGGATGCCCATAACAGAAAACGAACTTGCAGGTTGCAGAGGCTCTTTCCCACACTGCGCCATCCTTACGCCGTCCGCCTTCCAGGCCTGACGGCACACAGAATTCCCATGGTTTGACGTTCTTAATCCGCGGGCCTCTGAGGTCCAGACCAGCCTCTCGTCCCCGGGTCCTTTTCTGATGGCCCTGGGGTCCCAGGAGCGGCATCAGGAGGCACTAAATTTCAGAAGATCGCCAGGATTGAGGAAACAGCCCGCCCGACCTACAATGACGCACCGACCCCGACGCGCGCATGGCCACTGAGCATGGTTTGACGCATCCCCATCCCCGCTGGCATGGCCTTGGCCCCACTGGCTGACCTAACCTCCCAGATGGAGATCTGTGCTGTTCTCTCCGTGTTTCGCGGGGCCCGCCCCGACCAGTGTTCCTCCGCGCGGGCTGCTTGGACCAGCGCTTGACCCCCCTCCCTGGCGCGCGAAGCGCGACAAGGGGCGGCGCTGGGCCGCCGAAGTCGCCGCCAAGGGGGTCCAACGCTGATCCAGGAAATGCGCGCGGACCTCCACGAACTTGTTTCATGTATGTCGTGTCTTGGTCTTCGATGCTGTGAATCAGCGGCCCCGGCGCGCACATGTCCACGACAACCTTCTCTGGAGTGGCACGGCCCAGGGGGTTGGCGAGCGCGAGCTCGAGGCGACACGGTCGACAGTAAGGCCATGGCCCTGCAGAGGGGAGGGGGAGCGTTCTTTCTCTCTCTCTCTCTCGCTCTCTTTCTCTCTGTCGCTCTGTCTTTATGTCTCTCTCTCTCTCTTTATCTCTCGGTTTAACCCGAGGAAAACGAAGGAGCAGAGATGACAGAGGTTTGGGAAAAGAGAAAGGGAGAGTCGAGGTGTTCGAAGCCATCCGCCCTTGTGGGAGGACTGAAAGCCGAGACCAACACCAACACATAATGTTTCCACTGAATTTGGAATCTGCGTTGAGCCAGATCGAGCCCATTCTGGTTCGCAGAATCTCAAGGGAGCAGAGTGGGAAGAGAACAGATGAGCATCGCTTGAGAGGCCGCCCGCCAACATGGCCCACCCACGTGAGCTGGGCAGCCAGCGACGAGCGCCAGAGTCTGGAGCCTCCCCGAATAGCCCCTGTACACGGGCCGCGGCAGGCCCGGGGCGACCCATTCCCGGCGCTCCCGCTCGGGGTTCTCCGCCCGCAGGCCCAGGCCATGCCTGCAAAGTCCTCGCAGGACCACGCGCCCGTAGGGTCTCCGTTCCACCAGGGTCTCGTCAGTCTCGGTGCCTGTGTCAGATGTCCAGCATTGCTGGCGACGAACAGCGGGTAGCGGCACTACGACGCCACTCGAAAAAGTGGGAACACTTTCCCCTGGGGACGCTGGTTGGGTGAGCAGAGCTCCCTCAACTCCGAAGGCGCGCCAGGGCCGCCGATCATCGCAGGCCCCATTGAGCCCGATGGCCGAATATCAACGCTCACGGGGCTTGCAGGGCCCGAGCCCTCATAGTCATATTGTTGGTTGGCCTCATGGGGCTAACTCGAAGGGACGAGGGAGAGGGCCAGCTGCGTCCTGCATCTTTCCTCAACAAGTTCGCTGATGAGTGCGAAGACACGGACTGAGGCTCGGGATCTTCTATTTTCCAGAAGGGATCCTGGTGTTGATGTCGGATTCCAGTGCGCCGATTCTTGGGCCGCCTATCCTAGGGGCATGGATTGGGCGCCCCTCGACCCGTTCTTGGGAACTTGTTGTCCATACTGAGATCTGACTTTGATGGCCCCAGAACCTAGAAATGGCCCTCGGAACTCCAGAATGATGGCGAAACAGACTGCCGACCCGATCTTCTCTAGCCGCCAAATGTATGGGTCTGGAGCTCCTGGACCTCCGGGTCCGCCTGCACCAGCGCTCGCAGCCGAGGGTTGGGGACCAGCAGGCTAGACGGCGTCACCGCCGGCTCGAAGCCACGGAATCGCTGCACCTTGCGGGAAGGCCGCGGTCGGGCAAGGGCCACGGCGACCCGCCCAATTCTCGATGCCCCTCCCAGGGACAGGTGCTTGACGGTCCTCCCCACATCTCTACCTCTCTCCGCCTTCTCCTTCTCCTCCTCACGTCTCCATCATCTTGACTCCCTCCTCCTCTACCAGCCCCTACTTCATCTTTATCCTCGATCCGCGCTTCTCCAAATTTGTGTGTTTCGGTCCTCGCTTCTCCATGCACCTGTTTGCCTCCTTCATGCTTACGCCTCCCCCTGGCACTTCCGCTCTCTCCTTCTCCTCCTCCTCCTCCTCACCACCACCACCACTCCTTTCCTCCAGGTGCCTCCTTCCCTCCTCCCCCTTCCTTTCCTTCCTCCTCTCCGACTCTTCCTCCCGTCCTCACTCTTCCCTTCTCCTTAGTCCTCCTCCATCGTTTCCCTTATCAATAACTCCTCCATGTCGCACCCCGAGGCATGTCGGTGGGACAGACCAGGCGACATAACCAGGCCACGCGCCCGACCCCTCCTCTGCTGTTTCTCCCCCTGAACAATGAGAAAGTACGCAGTGCCTCCCCCGCGTTTTTTGTGTTGTGTGTGTTGCGTGAACATCCATTATTTGATGTCCCGTATGTGCTTTTTCACTGGAAACTCCTTCGGTCCTTCACATTGGTGTTCCCGCTGCAACGATGGCCTCTTGTTTGGGACGGTGCGTTTTCGTTCGGCCTGGCGCTCTTGCCCGAACGCGGACTAAATGTCCTGCCGCCTCCCTCGTTTCCCCTCGTGTGCCACCATTTCCGCTGCTGCCCCGCCTCGTGCTCCATCTCCGCAGCACAAGAGCCCCCCCCCCCCCCCCCTGTCGCCGACGACACAGCCAAACATGGGTGAACTCCTGCGACTGCCCAATGTCTTCTAGGACAACAGGCTCGGCGGACTGAAGATGATTCAGCACAATCCCGAGGGATGGGCGGAAGGGGTAGGACGTCGGATGTGACGCGAGACGCGAGTGCATCTGTCTTGCCCCCCCTCATTTGTCCACCCTCCTCCTGCTCTCCTACCACTCAATCCTCTCCAGATCTCCACCCAGCGCCAGAGAAGTGAAGGGGGCGGCAGATTCAGCGGAGCACCTGAGCATGTCTGGTGGTCCGCATGGCACTTCGGACCCCAACTAAAAAGCGGCATGAACAGAACAGTCCTCAGGTCCGCGTGGATATCTTGGGTCGTCGCTGGGCCGCTCTCCCCCCAAAAAAGCCCAAAGCGAGAGCCCGCCCCCACCCCAACACGCCAAGCGCCTTGTAGATGCTGCCACCCCCGTTGCCGGGCTCGACGCACGAGTAGCCATGCTGGATGGCGTAGTCCACCAAGGCGTGGTAGCAACACTCGAAATGAAGGAACGGCACGGGCCTGAGCCAGAGGCCAGCTCCGCCAGCCTTCCTCCAACCTCCTTCTCGTCCTCCTCCGCCTCCTCCTGTTCCCTGTCCTCCTCCTCCTCCGTTTTTCCTCTTCCGTTTGTCCGCCTCCGTCTCATCCTCCTCCTCCTCCACCCTGTCCACCTCCATATCCTCCTCCCCCCCCTCCTTCTCCTCGCCCCTTTTCTCCTCCGGATCCCTCAACAATCGTCCCCCAAGTCTGGTTTAAGGCGCATTTGGGGGAGGCAAGGGGGTCCGGTGTATTGAGGCGGTTCTTGAAGCCGACGTTCAGGGGGATCCGGCTGATTAGGGCGCCTTTTGCGCATGCAGTGTCGCACAAACTTTACGCACGCGACATGCTCGATGCTCCTGCTCGTGACCACCAGCCCGCGGATTACTAACCATCAGAATCATCATCCTCATCCTAATCCTCATCATCATCAGCAGCATCATCATCAACATCGTCATCATCCTCATCATCATCATCAGCATCATCATTACCATAACCATGTTCATCGTGATGCTCATCGTCATCATCACCGTCGTTGCCCGTCTCAATCATCATCATCATCAACACAATTATCGAAGTCGTCGTCCCTACTTAGCGTCGCCGTCGACGTCATGCGTACTACGCACACTTAGCAAAATGTGTGCTCAATCACAATTCTCATCCACAAAAACTCATTCACCGTCATAAGTGCGCTCACATATGCATCCGCCAATGGCTGCACACTGCACTTCCCCTCGCGTGAAGTCTTCGCAAAACGTATTTGGCGTATGTATCGTTAGTTGTTGTACACCGTATCGGTGGCGATATGATGCGGCGGTGGCAATGCTGATACTCCTGATGGTGATGGCGACGATCTCAATGGTGATTACCTTGTCGCCCCCCAGCGCGAACATCATCTTGCGTACTTAAGTGCCCTTCAGTTCTCCGTGAAGCCCGCTTTCAAGGCCGCTGTCTTCGTTCGGAAAGCTACCCCTCTAGAGTTGCGCCCCCCCACTAATTAGTCCGAGTCCGAGGAAACCATTCTGGGTTCCTGCGGAGCTGCGGAAGCGGCCGCCTCTTGGAGGCGGAGCGCAGAAACGACGCCGCGGAGCGCTGAACTTCCTGGCGGGTCGGGCGGCACGTTGCAAGCCTCCTTTCTCGCCTGTGGGCCCAGGCCAGGGGCGAGGGAAGGCAGACACGGCGAATCTACAATCGTGAGCCCTTGCGTGCATACTCGCGGGTATCTGCCCGCCATAATTCTATTGAAATTAGTGCGACCGTGCCTGCTGAACTGTTCTGGGCAACGGGTCGCTAAGTTGCTTTTGACCAGCACTCCGTGGTGCAGAAACGCTCCGCACCGCACACAAAGGAAACAGTCGGAGCCATCTGAAACATGAAATAATGTCGGCACATGTGCGTTGCTCTCGGCCGCATCCAGATCAGGTTGCGCCGAGCCTAAACATTTTCCAGGGCCAGGTTTCGCCGCGGACCTGGACCCTTTGCGACAGACCGTGCAACGCCACATGCCACTACAATGTTGCCACTCATGCCCCTGGGCAGGCGGCCCCAGGGGTTTCTCAGGATGCTCTGCCTGAAGCTCGACTCCGTCAAGATTCAGCTTCGGCCACTGCGGCAAAAGCTTCGCGGCAAGGCGGCATGCGGCGCGGGCAACGGCAATGCTACTCTGAACTCGTTTTTCCTCGGCCTCGGTGGGCCGAGGATGCGCCTGCGCGCCCATTTTCGCGACGGCATCAGCGTGGCCGTTTCCCCGACGTCGGAACCGCTCACTCTCGTCAAGCTCTGGCTCGTCGGGGTCTAAATGAGCCCTAACCTTGGTTAAGGCAGAGATGTGGCGGCATTGATTGATATACAAGAAGTGGCCCGCGTACTTGCGCTTGTGCGACAGTCGCGCAGACGCGGGCTGGTTAAAGTGCGAGACTACCGCCTGGCAGTCTGCATAACATTCACTCGGAGTCGCCAGCTGCAGGGAAGCCTGCGCTAGAGCCGTAAACTCGGCCGCAGGGGCCGTCTGAGCGATCGGTGCCCACACAGGCCCGTGCAGCGTGCATTCGGGTTGACCATCAGCCGGGACCTGGACCACTCCCCATCCAGCCCTCGAAAGTTCTGGTATCGGATGCCCGAACAAACTCCCATCTACGAATATTCGGCCCCCGATCACTCCGTCGTCGAAATCGCGATCCTCCCGATACGATTTGATTTCCACACCGCCGAACTCCCTAGGCCGAGGCCAATGCCCTTCTGGATGCTCGAAGATGCCACGTGTGAACAAATTTTCCTCATCCTTCGTGAGCTCACCACACGCCATCTTGATGATATTCTCCTTCACCAACTCCTCCCTCTCGTCCCTCGCCGCCTCACAAGTCCAAAACCTATGATGCGGGGTGTCAACAGCCTGTTGACAGAGAGGGCAGAGCAGCTGTTCGTCATCTAACTCGTATCCAAGGGCATGAGCCCGTGAAGCCGTCCAGCAGCCTCCACAGGCCAGATTACGAATAGCTCCTTTTTCCATGGGCGTGTAGCGTTTTTTTGCGGGCTTCTGATTTTGCAATATCAAAACACGCACGGTCCCAGGGCATCTCCAGCTTGACAGCAATGGACCTCTCCAGGTCCCGAACAACAGCCCTTCGCAAGAGATCCTTGAGCAACGTAGGGCTGACGTACGTGAGCGAAACAGCAGTGCCACGATGATCAAGCAGCGTGGCAAAGTCCCGCATTCGCCACCTTATCCTCTTTACTGACATGTACAACGCACTGATGGGTCCGTGAACGTGTCTCCAAGTGGTGGGAAGGGTGGCGGATTGAAAAACAGAAGACCAAAGTCGGCGCAGCTCTGGCATGCTGAAACAGAATGAGTAAGCCCTTGTCTGCGCTGCCCAAACTTCCTTGCTCCATCTAACTATCGGCGCAACCATCCCATACCAGCAAGGCTCATCCTCAAACACTAGCGCTGCAGACAATGATCGGCCACCACATGACGGCCGTAAACACTTACCAGCCTGCTGCCTGATCCGACCTAACTCAGTGTTACTTAGACCGTGAACTTCAGCTCCGTAGCACATCCCTGGCAGCGGCCCACTGCAGAAAATCTCCCGCGCTGATCTGCCAAGGATATGTCTCTGTCTCTTGATGCGCTCCACCTTCCTCCGAAATCCTCTCTCCCTCTGCTTTCGCTTGACCGCTCTCCCCCGCACCCTGCTACCTTTCCCTGCCGTGTCATCAATCCCCATGTTGACTGCAGTAGAGTGGTTGGAGCTGGGTCCCGACAAGGCCCCGAGCCAATCGGCCAGCAGCTTACCGAGCGTGGCGTCGCTGGCAACAAGGTTGGCCTTGTCGGGGGAGATAACAGACTTCAAATCCTCCGTGACCGCCACATAAACAGCTGCCGTAGCCGACTTCAAATCAGCCAAGACCTGCTTGAAAGTGCCGGTGCTAGATATACCTATGTCATCTATGAAGAGGTCGATGCTAATGGTGGGCCCCACAGAGACCTGCATGAACGTATCCATGTAATAAATGCGCACATATGTTGTAGCTAGACTGCAGCCAGCAATAACACCCCTGAAAGCCAGGAAGGGCCCATCCAGGAAACCAATGATGTTAATGAAACGAGCCGATTTGTATGCAGCTAGCGAAACCTTGATGACCGCGCGCGAGAAGCCCCATTTAAGACACCGAGCCTCGAGACCCCCAAGATCCATCAACTCATAAAACTTATACATGTCCCATAAGACTGACGCCGCATATCCCCCTGTTCGTGTGGACCCTTCGGCACGAGCAGCTTGGCGCCAGACAACATCAGTGGCACTCTTAAACCCACTACCTGAGAAAAAACTTGCCGTGTGAGCCTCCTCCCATTCCACAGCTACCTCCCTCCTGATCTTCCCCCACATGCGGTAAGTGGACGTGAAGATACCGATCGGTCGCAGGCCGCCCATCGGCTTGGGGAGCATAGCCAGCATCACCAAACGAATCTGGATGGGAAAAGTCGACATCATCTCAATGATCCCGAAACTGTAAGACAGAACTTCAAGCCCTTCATCGCAAAGAAACCATCAACACTGACTGCAGATCGACTCTTGTAGGAACGGCTTGCCAAACGAATGGTGCCAACAGAAACTCTAGGCAATGCCGACATAGGCTGGAAGTCCTGGCTCTGGTTGTAGTCAATGGATTCGGCTCCTTCGGTAGCCAGCCACAGGCGTTTGAACCGAAGCCCTTCAGCCTTGAGTAACGACAAAGGGCCTGATAGCACCTGACCCGATGCTGACAGCGTCGAGGACGGAGCCCAGGCTTCGACAGGCTTTGACCAAGCATGGGCCGCGCGTGCCCCTTGGTCGATGTCCTTCAGAAACCACTCCTTCCACGCACGGTCTGCATCGTACTTGGCTGCGAGAGAGGCCGACTTCAGCGCATCCGCGAGACGCGCCGAGATGGAGTCGCAATCATCGAAGGACTGGCCATCCTTCCCTACGAACTCACAGACATCTGCGTACAACTGGCTGAACTCGCTCTTAGCAAAGTTGTCCAGAATGAAGCTCGAAGGGGAACAGATGACTGTTTTTGCGTGACCTCTGGCGGGCTTGTCGGGCTCTCCAGCCCGAACATGAAACCGCCAGAGCCGATGATTCTGACAAAGCCAGCGGACACAGAAAAGAGCAGGGTGTCGGCCAGGACGTTTGTCTCGTTTCCTAATGTCAACCCACCAGACTTGTGGAATTTCTCCCCGACAGCCATTCTTAGGCAACTTGGTATGGAGGGCCCCTTCTAACTCCAACTCAGCCATGTTTGCCCAAGACGTGTACAACCCGTCGAGCCCCTCAAATGCCTCACGAGACCCACGCTGTGCACAATCAAACACTCCCTCAGCAAGTTTGAGAACTTAACTCCAGTCACGGGGGGCAGGGGCAGGACCAATAGGTTGTTCGACAGGAAGTGGAGGTGGTTTCCGAAACGATAACACCTTCAGGTCCTCCGACTGCTCGAAA